TGATTTATTTATCTATTACATATACAGTGTTCTGCCTACATGCCAGAAGAGGGCACCAGACTGAATTGCAGATGATTGTGAGCCATCATGTGGTTGCGGAGAATTGAACTCAGGACCTCTGGAAGAGTGTGCTCTTAACCTCTGAGCCATCTCAGTGCAGCCTGTAAGGAGGGTAGTCTTAAAGAAGGAAAGAACAGTCCTATCTGGACAATAGCAGGAGCCTGGGTGAGAACTAATGAAGGTGTGAGCCGGAATGGGACATAGGATATTCAGGAGTAGACCACTATCTATGGAAGATGAAACAGGGCAGGATTCCAGTGAACGATCCAAAACTGAGCTCTGATCCCCGTAAGCCAAAGACAGCCGTTTTCATAGCTGCCCAGAACAAATACCTTGGGTATATACTTTGTCTTCTCTTCACTCTGTGATCATAGTCATGGATGTAAAAGAACATAAACTTCTTTACTGCTAAGGCTCAACCACTATCATCTCTTGCTGGGATTAGTTCAGTTTCCTAACTGCTCCTCCTATAGTCTATTCTCTGCATGACAGAAATTCTTTTTTTTTAAATCGAAATAAATAAATTATTTATGCATTTATTCCTCATTATGTATGTGTTCTCATTATGTAGCCCTGGCTCATCTGGAACTTGCTATGTAGACCAGATTGACCTTGAACAGAGATCTGCCTGCCTCTGCCTTCCAAGGGTTGAGATTAAATGTATGTGCATGCCACCATGCCTGGTTTATAAGATTATTTTTAATTAAGTGTATGCGCTTGCAGAAGCCAGAGATGATACATCTTCTAGAGCTGGAATTACAGGCAGATGTAAGCACTTGACCTTCATGCTGAGAACCAAACTAGGGTCCTCCATACAAAAACAGTATGCACTCTTAACACCAGGCCCTCCCTTAAAAACAAACCAACCAACCAGCGATTCTGGCTACCCTGGGTTATATAGTAGATTGTAAACTTTTGAGTTACCCAGTAAGACCTGACTTTAAAAACAAAACCAACCAAACAAAAACTGCCTGGGGCTGGAGAGATGGCTCAGTGGTTAAGAGAACTGGCTGCTCTTCCAGAGACCTGGGTTTAGTTTTCAGGACCACCGGTAAACTCCAGCCCTAGGGGATCCATCACCCTTTTCTGGTCTCTGTGTGCACCAGGCACACACATGGTATACCTACCTACACATCTATCTACACATGCAGTCAGAACATTCATACACATAAACAAAACAAAACAAAAACCAGAAAAAACTAACAAAGCCCCCCCAAAACAACAACAACAAAAACCAAAACCAAAAGCTCAACAAAAAACCTGAAACATCCAGAAAACAAAAACCCAAAGTGAAAACAAAACAAAAACCAAAAAACATTTGCCAGGCCGTGGTGGTGGTGGTGGTGGTGCCAGGCGGTGGTAGTACATGCCTTTAATCCCAGCACTTGGAAGGCAGAGGCCAGCATGGTCTACAGAGTTAGTTCAAGACAATTAGAGCTGTTACACAGAGTAACCCTGTCTTGAAAAACAAAAACTCAAACAAAAAAAACCCCAAAGTGGCTTCAAAGTTTTTACATGATCTATAGTTATTTCTTTTATATGATGTCTGCATTAGATACCAAGGTAGGATAAAGAAAATTATAGGCCAGGCTCCTTAATGAACACAGAAGAAAAATTCTCAACAATATACTTGGAATCTGCTTTCAAGGAAACATGGTAAATATCATTCATCATGAAGAAGCAGGCTTTACTCCAGATATGCAGGGATCGTTCAACATTTGCAAATCAATAATGTAACTCATTACACAATGGATTCAGGTCAGAAATTATACACTAATCTAACTAGATCCAGAAAGGGCTTCTGACAAAACACTGCTTTGTGATAAAAGTCCTGAAGAAACTTGGAAGAGAGGGAAGAAGGTATCTCAACAGCTACATATGATGACCTACAGCCAACATTATATCAAATAGGGAAAATTCAAAACTGAAACCAGGAAAAAGATAGGGGGTCCACTTTGTACACACTTTTTCTTTTTTCTTTGAGAAAGGGACTCTCTGTGTAGCCCTGGTTGTCCTGGAACTTGCTTTGTAGACTACTGTCGAACTCAGAGATTTGCCTGAAGTTCTGGAATCAAAGGCGTGCACCATGGCTGGCTTACTTTTTACACTCTATTCAGTACAGTAAAGTCTTAGCTACAGCAGTAAGACTTCAGAAACAAATAAAAAAGGGTACAACAAAGGAAGAAGATGATAGTGGCAGAATACAAAATCAACATACAAAAGCCTACAGCCTTCCTATACACGGTACAGGCTGAGGATGAACTCAGAGAAATAATCCTATTCACAATTATCACAAAACAAATATTCCAGTAAGCTTGTCTGTAACAAAAACAATGGAGAAAACTGATGAAGACACTACATGATGGAATGACACCCTTCCTTCATGGATTGGAATAATCAATATGGTGAAAATGGCATTACCAAAAGCAATCCCATTAAACTGCATGAAAGTCTGCTTTAATAACGACAAGCACCCTAGTTCTATTCTCCCTTAAGCCCCAGTCATCACCTCTTCTTTTCACTCATTCCCTATCATTTGTTTATTATGTTTCAGAATCACAATCATGGATTACTATTTTTTCCAGTGCCTGGGATCAAGCCCAGGGCTTTGTTCACACGAGTGCTCTACTAAGCTACACACAGTTCCAAATCATTTAACTAATGATGCTGATAGTATTTTTTAAAAGCAATAAAAAACTTTGTTATTTCTTTTTTTCTTTCTTTTCTTCTTTTTTTTTTTCTCTCTGTGTAGCTTTATAGACCAGGCTGGACTTGAACTCACAGAGATCTGCCTGCCTCTGCTCCCCTGAGTGCTGGGATTAAAGGCAGGCACCTGGCAAAGTTTGTAATTTCGTATGTTCTAAGCAAACGGGCTGAACACATTAAAATAAAACTATCCAGCTAAAAAAAGGTATTACTCCCAAGCAGTGGAAAAAATTACTGGGATACATATTCAGAATTGAAACCTTGAGTTATCTCTGTGTAGCATGAATAAGAGAAATTGTTGACAGAAGGAAAGACCAGCCTATCTAGATGTCTTCCTCCATTTCCACCTCCCTTTACTTACCTCCCCCCTCAGATAGGGTCTCACTCTGCATTTCTCACTACCGAGACCATGCTGGCCTTGAACTCAAAGACCTTCGTGCTGGGATTAAAGGCATGTGTCACCATGCCTGGCTTTCCCCCCAAATATTTTTACATGTATTCATCTGTGGAATGTATACTCTGTGTATATATCTGCAGAGGGCACTGAATCCTGAACCTGGAGTTACAGGTAGCTGGGAGTGGCCTGATGGGGGTTCCAGGAACTTATACTTTGCAAGAGCAGCAAGCACTAACTGCTGAGCTCCTTTTCCAGCCTCCGCTCCTTTTCTCCTCCACCAAGGGGTCTTACTATGTTGTCCCAGTGGCTGTCAACTGCCTTAGCTCCTGAGTAGCTGGGTCCACCACTGGGCCCGGCTGTACTGTTGCTATAGCAGTGCTGTTAGCGTTAATCACCATGCCCGCTCCTCTCACCTTCATGTACTTGTTGAAGACACTCTGGATCTCCTCATTGATGCTTGGCTGCAAGACAGCACGGAGGAGATCCATAGAGATGGCTGGATCTGTGAAACTGCGTTCAGGAGGGAGACAGAGTCAGGGGGAGTGTCCCAAGCATACTCCCCAGGTTGTCCAGAAGTCCTGGACAAAACCAGCTTTGTGCTCAAATTCTGGCAGATGACAGAAACACATTTTATTTCATCATGACTCTCTGTGAAGAGAGATCCACTTGCCTCTGCCAAGTGCTGTGATTAATAAATGATTATCAATACCCCAGGCCAAAAATAAAACTAGAATTCTAAAGGCCCATCCTGGGTTCTTTCCCTTCCCTAGGCTGGACACCCAACAGTAGCTCCACAACACTACTGAGAAAACAGAGGCCAAGAGAAACTAAGGGGTTGTCCAAAGCTGCTGTTAATAACGTCAGAGCCTGCATTACAAAGGTCATCTGAATCTTGGTTTTACAGTCTCTCAGTCACAGAGACGATAACGTGAGAGCTCATAGTAAGACTGTACTACCTTCCCTGTTTTCTTTTGGAAGGGGAACTGACTCACAGGGAGAAACCCAGGCCCCGAGTCTCTCTGCACCCCTCAAGTCCTCTTTCTGCCGGTTCCTGATCCCAGACTCCTGCAGTGGGGTTCCTAAAGCACTCACCCAAGCCCACATCACCGGAGGGATCTAGGTCTCACCCAGGGCCCCATTACCTTGTGGTCATCTGAGAGCGGCGGCCCCTTCGCTGCACCTGCCGGTGTTTTATCATTATGTTCCAAGGGTTCTGTGGGGACCAAGTGGGCAAATGTCACTGAGGCCCCTCATAGTGGGTATAAAGTTAAACACAGGCGTTCTTGCTTCTCACTTCTCCCACCTTGGGGTGAAGGGGGATTCAGTGGCTGGAAGACTCTGTCAGGGCGGAGGAACTGGGGGAAATGTTTTCTGCCTCAAACGCCCTAAGCTCGCTTTTTCTGGAAGGGCAAGAAGAAGAGCAGCAGTGTTTACCGAGGGTCTGCCCTGTGGCCGGTGATGTCAGGGCGCTCTACCCGCCTGTATCAGCCCATCCCACCACAACTCCATCAAGCTGGGGTTACTGCTGCTCATTTCACAGGAGACGCCTGGCGCTCAGAGGTTGTCACATCAGGCCCACGTCACCTAGCTAGAATCTGAATCCAGGGTCGTCGCACGGAGAAAACGGCACACCCAGAGCCGCACAGCCGCCGCGTTCTCTTGCCCGCGGGCCCGGAGCCCGGGAGCCCGAGGCCCTGCCCGGCCCGAGCCCCGGCCTCGCCCGGGCGCCCTCACCGTGAGAACCGGCTGCCCCGCCGCGCCCGCGTCGCCCAACTCCAGGCCGCCTCGTTCTGCCACGCCGGGGCCCCGCGGCTGCTCGGTGTCGCCAGTCGCCCCCATGGCGCCCCCGGCCCACAACAACCTCAGCTCGACTCAGCCACCGGAAAGTGGCGCCGTGACGTCACGGGAGCGTCCGGGCCACCCGGCCGGAAGCGCGGCGCGGGTGCGCCGAGCAGTTGCTATGGGAACCGAACTGCCGCCTGGGAGCTGTGTCTTGCTGTATTTCCGGATCTTGGGTATTGGGAAGAGGTTGGGGCTTCCAAACCCCTGGAAGACGACGGCTGGGGACCGAGTGTGGGTGTTCGGGAACCATTCGGTCACGGGACGAGTGCGGGATGTGAGGATCGCAGAGCACGGGCTGCAGCTGGGGAGCACAGGGTTTTGGATTGGGGCTGTTAGAAGTTCAGTCTTAAAAACTGCAGGAAAATCTGATAAATTGGTACAAGGTCCCAGAAGTGTAGCGGTCCGACTCAGGTACCAGGAAAGCCAACAAAAAGAGGGCTGCTCGCGCCATCACAAATATCCACTAGCCTTTAGGGTCTGCCTTTTGTATCTGAGTTTTGGCTTTTGAACTTGCCCTGTTCCAGAGAGCTGGCTTTCTTTCCCCTAGATGGTTGATTCTGGGATAGGTTGGGGATGAAAGGTTTAGCAACTGTGGCATTCACAAGAGCTCCGCTTAGCACTCAGAGGTAAGCGGTGCCCGTGATGGATAACGCTGCTCTTCGCAGGTTACAGTAATCAGGTAGTGTAAAGTGTATGAGTTTTGCGTTAGGAAAGATCTAGGTTCAGTCCTGTTGTGATATGATCATTAACGTTGGCTATGGCATGTGTGATGTTGCACATAACCCCGGAACTCAGGAAGAAGTAGTAGTAGGAGGCACAGGAGTTTGAGACCAGTCTGGGCTGCAAAGCAAGACCCTGTCTCAAAGCCAAGGCCTTAGAACATCGACTGTGGGCCTGGATCTTTGTTATCCTACGTACTAAACACTCTCACTCCCTTCCACAAGGACCAAGTTGTAAACTTTTTGTACATTTGTATTGATGCTGCAAAACTTGGACACTGCTTTTTTGTGGGTTCTGACAGTTCCCAAGGATGGACAGAATGTTATGCTTCAGTTACAACACTAGCTTGGTTATTTTCTTAGAAGTTGCTTTTCCAGTTCTTCGAATTGTTAGGGGCTAGGAAGGCCAAAGGCCCTTCCAGATCCTGTGGACGGAAGAGAGAACACTGAGCTTTGGTTCCCCGCCAGGGCCATTCTTGGCAAGGCCAGCAAGAGACTGGTGCCAGGGCTCTGCAGGGCTGAGGCCAGGGCCCAGAGACGGATGATTTCATGTAAAGCTGTGGTTAAATATCACAGACTTTGAGATATGAAATACTTTGCTTGTTGTACCAGAATGTACCTTGCAAAAGAGGAATTAGAGTTCCCGGTAATTCTCCTCTGGATGGACGTCACTGATTTGCTCTCTGCCTCCCCATCTGCGGGGTGGGTAAAGAGCCAATGAACTTGCTGGCTTGAGGCATCAGCCCTCACAGCCTTCCTGCTCCTAGCTTTGGACTGTTTATTTTTCTCATCTATGGTCCCCACCCCCACCCCCTCAGAATCCCAATGTGAACCCAGGAGAACAGCTGGTCTGGTTTACCCTCTGTCATTTTGACTACAGTAGAGTCCTTTCAAAGCCCTTCTGATCCCGCTTTGACCTTTAACTCAATAGCTACCTGTCCATTTCCTAGCTTCCCACCGGTGTCCTCATCACTTGTCTAAGAGTGTTAGGCATATTGTATGGCAGTATTTGGTCCCTCCCATCACATGTGCCCTGTGGTAGTGCCAGGAAAAATTTCCACACACCAGCAGCCAGTCACTGCTCTTACTTCGAGGAGAAGACGTTCCTGGGGGGTTATTGGATCGACAACAGTTACCCAGTCCTGTCCTTTCTGCTGCTACCTCTGCCCAGAACAGAGCTCTCAACTCTCAACATCAGCAAGATGCTAAGCTACCTCTTCCTCATGAAGGCACTTCTTACTCTCAGCTCCCTGGCATCCTGGGTAACTGCGGGACAGAACGGTGAGCTATCATTTGGGGTCCCTGGCTAAAAGTAATAGAAAGTTACTAGGGGAGAGGTCTCTCACTTATGGAGGCAGTCATCTCTGTAGGGAGAACTGGATGGAAAGATTGTTGGGACAGTAAGGACAAGTTGACTTGGCTCTTGTTGCCTTCTCTGCAACAAGGAGTTAGGACTTATAAAGATACATATTGTAGCTATCTTCTAGAGCTCATTAACTGAGGATGGGGCCATGCACCAGCCCCCTTTCTCTGCCTGTCTCTGTCCCTCTCTTTCTCTGCAGCACTGCTGGTTGTCTTTTAGTAGTCATGGAGGTGTGTGTTGGTATCGGTGTGGTAAGAAGAGGAGGGGGGTAGCATAGCTTATCTGCATAGAAATGCATGGAAATGCTGAGCTCCTCAAGATACATTTGACTTTTATCCCCTAATTACTTTTTTTAAAAAAAGATTTGCATGGGTGTCTCTCTATGTATGGCACGTGTGTATGGGTGCCTGCAGAGGCCAGAAGATGGAGTAGGATCCCCTTGAACTGGAGGTACATATGGTTGTGAGCTGCCAGAGATGGGTGCTGGGCACTGGATTTATGTCTTCTGGAAGAGCATCAAGTTTCTTAACAGCTGAGCCTTCTCTTCAGCCTCCACTAGTAGAGGCTGACCCTTCCCCCATCTCTATAGGCCTAATCAGTTATCTCAATTTCATGTGACATCTTTTTCAGTGAGAGGGACAGTGCCTTCCTGATCAGAATGTATAAGGTCTGGGTCATGTCTTGCTGGGCAGAAGGGCTGCAGTACAGGCTTTGTAAGGTCCACGAAGCAGACCTCATAGTATGTTGTCACGAGGGGCAAAACCCCAGTGTGTTCTCTGGCCTTATCTTTTAGAAGAATAGAACCAGGGAGCTTCCCACCTTCTAGATTTTCTCTGGACACCTAGTGTAGGTTACCTCTTTCCCCTTTGAGGTCTCTAACCATTCCACATCCAAACTCTTTGTCTCCTATCAGGAAAGAAAGCGCTATTGCTGATCCATGTCTTCTACTTTGGACTAGAGTAGTGTCGTGAGGGAAAGCCCACTTAAAATAGTGGTTGCGACATCTGGGGAAGGTGAGAAGGGGAAGGGCTTCCTTGCCTGATTTGCAAGCCTGATGACCTTGCTCCATCCCCAGAATCTATGCAAAAGTGAAGAGAACTGATTCTACCAAGCTTTCCTTTGAGTTCTGCATGTATGCCGTGATGCATTTGCCTCCCCAAAGTAATCATGATTTTAGAAAGGGCACTAAGGACTTAAGAGATGTAGTTCAGGATCTCCCTGTGTAGCTCATTCTGACTTCATACTCAGGGTCCTCCCACTTTTGCCTCCGAGTGCTGGGATTACAAGTGTGTGCACCATGCCTGGTCTTTTAAAAATTCTTCTTTTTAATTAAAAAATATTTTTCAATTTACATACCAACCCCAGTTTCCCCCCCCCCCCAATTACAAGTGTGTGCACTATGCTTGGTCTTTTTAAAATTATTTTTATTTTAAAAAGCTTATTTTTCATTTTATATACCAATCCCAGTTCCCCCTCCGTCCCCTTCTCCTGCCCCTTCCCTCCTCCCTTCCCACCCCCCAATCCACTCCTCAGTGGGGTAAGGCCTTCCTTGGGGAGTCAACAAATTCTGGCATACCAAGTTGAGGCTGGGCCAAGCCCCTCCCCCTGTATCAAGGCATCCCTCCTGTTGTAGAGAAGGGTTGCTCTTTTTTGGGGGGGGTTTAAAGACAGGGTTGCTCTGTGGCTTTGGAACTCTTGTAGAGCAGCCTGGTCTCGAACTCACAGAGATCAGCCTGCCTCTACCTCCTGAGTGCTAGGACTAAAGGTGTGCACCACCAACACCCGGCCTAGAAGGGTTGTTCTTCATGAGCCTGATTCCCAGAAAGCTCTCCTTCCTGAGCTGTGAAAAACTTGACCTTTGGTGTCATCACAGGTCTACTGTGGCAGACAAAGGCGGTGTGCCAGTCAGCTTGCCCGAGCACAGGTAGACACTGGAATGTGCTCTCAGGGATGAGCTCTGGTCTGAATGTGGCCTGTGGTGAGACTTCTGTTTGCTCTGTGGGCGTGGGCAAGTGTGTTCATCTTCTTGAATCTCCCCTTTGTCATCCTCATAGAGTGATGACGGAGTTAGGAAGAAATGCACTTGAAGAGTCTGCATTGTGTCTGTCAAGAGAGGCTCAGGGTCTCCTACAGTTAGTCCAGCACTAGTCCGGTCTGTTTCCCTCTCCACTCATGTGCGTTTTGATCTGCCCACTCACTCATCAGTCACTCATTTACATCGTGTGTGGAGAGTCAGCCCCACCTGGCATGTGGGTATCTGTGTACCTGTGGTGGAGTGTTGTGAGGAGGGAGCTGCAGAAGCAGAGGCTATGAGGGAGGGAGGAGCTTTGTTCCTAAAGAATGTGAAAGGAGGTCATTGTGACTGGAGAAAATCAAGGAGGATTTCAGTTGAGGTTGGGGAGGTGGCAAGACTCAGAGTTGGGGCAGATTTGGGCTTCTTTCCCCTATTTGATTCTAAGTGCAGAAGGAAGTAATTAGAGCCAGTGAGTTGGTTTATTGGGCAAAGGCCACACAAACCTGAGGATCCAAGTTCAACCTATTGGGGAAGGAGCAGACTGACTATAGAAGTTGTTCTCTGACCAGCACAGGCACACGGTGGCATTCATGCACTGACAACCACACATATTGTACACATGCAACAATAGATACAAATTTAAAATATTTGTAAAGAAGTACATAAGCCCTGTGTGGTAGAAATACGCATAATCCCAGTACCAGAAAGGCAGAAGCAGGAGGATCAGGAGTTCAAGACCATTTTCAGCTACATGGTGACTTTAAGGCAGTCTACGCTGCAGGAGACTTGTCTCAAAAAGCCCCCCCAATTATAATTGAGGGGAGTCTAAATGAGGGAGAGGCCTATTCCAGTTTTCATTTCGAAAAGGCTGTTCTGGTGAGCAAAAAATGGACGAGGGCAAGTGTAGACTATGGAGGCCAGGTGAGCAGCCACTATGGCAGCCTGGGTGAGAGATGATCATGGCTTAGGCCAGGGAGGTCACCATAATGCAGGCATGGAAACGCAGAGCCTTAAAGGCGGTTGACAGGACCAGGTAAAGACACTGAGGGAGAGGTGTGTCAAGGATGGTGTGAAGTGTCTGGCCCCAGGGACAGGGTGGCAGTCATCCTCTTTGACAGAAGGGGACCACCGGGGTGGTAAAATGCTGGAGCTGATACAGGAGCCAAGCCTGTTATTGACTGCAGTTTCTCTGCTTTATGGTGGCAGGTGGGGTGTGGGAGAGGTGCAGATGGAGTGTGGGGGTGAGCATCCCAATTCCAGCTGTCAGTCCCGTTTCTTGTCCTGATCCCTGGTAGGGGATTAGTTGTGAACTTACTGAGCCCCACACTTTGTAATGGCTGAGTTCACCTAGGTTAGTAGAACCAAGACACCGAGGACAGGGCATCTTGTCCAAAGGCATTGCGGGGACCATGTCTTCACAAGGTTCCTGGGGGTGGGTGCTTAGAACTTCTCAGGAACCTGGTTCCAGGAGGGTATGAGGGAGTACAAACACTGTCTAACTTTAAAATGAGGATGGTAGGGCTGGAGAGATGGCTTAGCTGTTAATTGTAGATGCACAGATTAAGATACATAGGACTAGGATAACATAGGTTAATTTTATTCGGGGGGAGAAGTCACTTATATGAGAAACAGATAACTTCAGATAGTTCCAGCTCCTAGGATCAACGCCCTACTGTTCTCTGTGACCTGACTGGAACCAAGAGAGACCAAGCCTGTCCTGGACCCCAGACCAAATCCCATATGCTCATGTACACATCTGTGACCACACCGAAATGATCAGCTCCACAGTTGGATCTCTCACTACAGTTAAGAATACTAACTGAGGCCGGGCGGTGGTGGCGCATGCCTTTAATCCCAGCACTCGGGAGGCAGAGGCAGGCAGATCTCTGTGAGTTCAAGGCCAGGCTGGACTGAAAGCCTCCAAAACAATACAGAGAAACCCTGTCTCGTAAAACCAAAAAAAAAAAAAAGTACTAACTGTTCTTCCAGAGAACATAGGCTCATTCCCAATACCCACATGGTAGCTCATAACTGTCTACAAACCCCAGAAGGGATCCAATACCCTCTTTTGGCCTCTTTGGGTATCAGGCATGTATGTAGACATACATGTAGACAAACACCCATATGCATAAAAATAAGCAAGCAAACAAATAAAAAGGGATGTGAAAGTATGGGGGCTGGGGAAATGGCACAGGGGTTAAGAGCACATACTATTCTTATAGAGGACCTGGGTTCAATTCCCAGCACTCACATGGCAGCTCATACCTGTCTGTAACTCTAGTTCCAGGGCCTCTGACACCCTCATATACTGAGAGCATTCATCATGTATTCCAGAAGAAGCAATTAATATTCTAGATGTCAACCCACCAGAATTAACTTCTGATAGAGGAAACTTGCCTTGCAAAGTGTGCGAGAAATACAAATTTCAGAATATCTGTTACTTCTGCCTGTAATTTTAAATGTGCTGATTGCATTCTTTCCCTAACCTGAATATATGTGTGTGCATCTCAAAAATACATTTCTGATCTACTGGGCACATATATCTGTGGGTAGTCAGAAGGATGACTTTTCATTTGGCAGTATAATCTTGATATGTAGACTATAAACTGGGTGCCTTGTAGTCTTGAAAAGGCCCCAAAGAAAGGAAGTTGTTCTTATTGCGGGTCAGGGGAAACAAAGCCATCCCCTGGCCCAGAGGCTAGAAGTATCAGGCTCTGGATTTTACATTTCATAGCTTTTACTCCATTAACCCTTCCCGCCTTTTAAGTTGCCCAGATGTTCACAAGTCACATCCTGAGACATAAGCCACCTGTTTTGTCAGATCTTACCTGTTTTCTTGACCGTGAGAAATGCATGCCTGTTATTGTTGCTATTGTCAGAGAATTGCTAATTGTGTTTGTGTGGGTATATAAAGTGGAACCTTGTGGGATTGAGAGAGAACTTTTGAAGAATGAAGAGACATGAGGACAACACATGTATGAGCCGATCCGTTCACCCTCAGATCCCTTTAACCAGCCCCTGTGCTTGCTGTTTAGCGTCTTGCCTAAACCCTGAGGGGACACCAAGGCTGGCACTCAGAGGTTCCCAATACTCACACAGACATACATGCAGGCAAAGCACCAGTGAACATAAAAAAATGAGGATGGCGCAGTGAAGTCCTATTAAGCCCATGTGCTTGAGCTGACAGGAATTATTTATTTGGCATGGATCTGAGTTATGAAAGAGAATGGTAGTGCTGAGCAATGGTCCAAAGGGATGTGCTTTGACCTCTGACCCTCAGGACCCAAGTGTGCCTCCCAAGAGAGCTCAAGGGAAGTTGGGCTAGAAGAGGGCAGAGGTAAGGTCTCTGCTATGTCTCAAGGATATTATTCTCCTGGGAGAAGAGCAGAGAGGAACAAAGACTCCCGTCCTTCGCCCCATCAGAGCTAAGCTCATTAAAAACGGCAACACCTGGTAAGTATGGTGGCCTTCTTTATAGGTTCATTGCTCAACTCTATGAGAAGCTAGTGACAGTGGAATTTTCCTCTGGGGTGATTTCCTTATACAGCTCTCTCAATGGTGGAATCAATTTTATTTTTTGTCAAGTGTATTGCAGTTTGTCAAGTAGATGAGCAAGTGCAGTGAGACACATCAGGTAGTTATAGTAACCATGCTTTCCAAATTAAAAATATCAGGGTATGCAGTTTTGATATGACATATAACAACACAATATTCCTGTACAGGAAAATCCCAGGACACAAGACTATTATCTTTGGGGTTCAACACTTACTCTTTCTATCATGGCAGACTCTCTGGAGCCAGCCATGTGCAATCATACACAACCTGCTGCTTTCGAGGCTCTGGGCTAGGCATGTTTTGGTTTTCTACAAAACTTTTAATTGCTCATCACCTCTTCCACATTTAAAGAACTGGAATGAGTCATGGTGAGTTAGTCTGGCTCAGATGGAGTCTTCTTTGGGTGTGCCTGCTCCTGGGGCCAACTTGTCTGCATCTTTTAAGGATGGCGTATTAAAATGCAATTCATTGCAAGTCAGGCAACTGAGTCTTGTCCTGCTTTGCTGCTAGGTTACTCTGTAGTTCTGGGTCGGCTCCACTCTCTTCTCTGGGATTTGTTATTGTCATAGCAGTGATGAAGGGATGCATCTAGAATGTATTTGGCTATGGACAACAGAGTGTAGCAGAATAGCAATTCAGTGTTCTCAGTTTACAAGAATTCTGAGGTGGGTGTCAGAGCTGTCATGGCAACTCAGTGGTGCAACTCAGAGGGAAGCATCTCCCTCTCACCTGGTCAGTCCTTGACTTTGTCCTCATGCTAGTGGCTTCCTGCATTACGGAAGGCTGCCTTACATCTCTCCAGCTGGTCTGAAGCAATGAGTCTAGCCCAAATGATCCACTTCCTCCATTGTCTTACAAGTAGAGGTAACCACAAACTAAAATGCTTTTGTATCTTTGTGTTTGGTTGGTTGGGTTTTGGAGACAGGGTTTCTCTGTGTAGCTTTAGAGCCTGTTCTGGAACTCACTCTGTAGACCAGGATTGCCTTGAACTCACAGAGATCCATCTGCTTCTGCCTCCTGAGTGCTAGGACTAAAGATGTTCACCCAGCTAATTTATTTAACTTAATTAATCAACTAATTTGTGTATTTCTGTATATTTGTGTGTATGTGCACACGCATGTGCAGGCCACAAGTCAGCTTGGAGTATCATTGCTCAGGAGCTGTCCCCCTCGTGTTCTTTGAGTCAGGCTCTCACTTGCTGGTTAGGCGAGGCTGACTGGCCTGGGAGCCCTAGGTGTCTGTCTGTCCCCCCCATCCCACAGCTGGTGCCTCCGCACTTCGCCTTTTGCATAGACACTGGGGATCAAATTCAGCAAAGCATGGCAAACATTTTGCCAACTGAACCTTTTCTTTAGCCCCCTGGAATGTGTGTCTTCTATGTTCCCTGTCCGTAGTGAATCTCATCACACCACAGTGTAGTTCAGGTTGCTCTTGAGCACTGTGACTGGCTTCTGAGAAGGGCATTCCAGGAGGACGGGCTCCTGTGTGCAGTGCTCTTCAGTCTCTGATTACACTGTGATTGTTAATGCCCTCTGGTAAAAGTAAGCCATAGCGTGAAGCCCAAGTCAGTGTGGAAAGGGACTTCGCCAGGGCACGCATCCCGGGAGATACGATTAATTGCTGTCAAACACTCCGTGTCTGTCACAGTATGAAAGAAAGGAAAGTGAACATAAGGAATGTAATTTATGTGTTTGCTGTGGTGGATTGGAGCTAAACAGTGCTTTTTCATACTGCAAACAGCAAAACGTGCAGTTGTTCATGGATGGAAGAAATAGAAGGAACATGGAATATTAGGGTGTATTGCATATTAAAAATCTATATTTATAACCACTGAAAAATGTATTTTATGTTCCTGGCTTGAACACATCTGAGTTTCAGTGTTTCGGTTCTATGGCAGAATTAAGTGATGGATGTCCTGCTGACCCTCTTCCATGTGAGGAGCTGTGTGATGGGGACACATCCTGTCCCCAGGGACGCAAATGCTGCAGCACTGGTTGTGGCCACGCCTGCCGAGACATTCAGGGAGGTATGTCGGTTCTTTGGGAGGAGAGTCACAAGTGCCCGTTGGGTCCCAGGTCAGTCTGGATGGGCTTCCTGTGGACACCTTCTTGGGGGAGCCAGCTGTCACCTTTACCATCCCCTGGCCTCCAACCCAATGTAACTCTTCCTTCTAGGGTTGAAGGTCAAAGTTGGCATGGAAAGGACTAGAGGTGTGGTAAAGAAACTCAGTCTGGGTTCTGTTGTGGGTGTACGCTGTGACTGGGGCAAATGATCCCCTCTTTCAGGGCCTGTTTTTCTGCCCAGTAAAGAAGTGGCCCAATATAACTGGTTTTTCGGATCAGTTTTTATTTGTTTTTGAGATAACCTAGATTGGTCTTAAACTCAGAGCCCTGGCTTAGTTCCCCATGTGCTGGCTTTACAGGCCTGAGATACTATTATTGGTTTCAGATGTCTCCCCGCCCCCGGCTTCAATCCTTTTTTTTTTTTGAGACAGGGTCTCTGCAACTCAGGCTGACTGACCTTTCTATGTAGCTCAAGATGACCCTGAACTTCTGATCTTCCTGTTTCTATTTCCTGTGTGCAGGGGTCCCAGGCGTGGGCCACCACACCCAGTTTATGCACTGCTGGGCAAACACTCCATGTGTTTGCTGAGCTATATTCCCATGCAATGCTCAACCCTTTGTATGCACATGCAGCCTGCTAGGAAAGACAAATATGAATGCAGACGCTCCTTGAGTGTAGCAGGGTTCTACCTCATAAACCCACGGGAAATGGCAAGTCTTGTAAGTTGAAAGTTCACTAGGACTCTTGTCCTAGTCAGGGTTACTATTGCTGTGCTGAAACATGGACAGAAGCAAGCTGGGGAGGAAGGGGCTCTTTGGCTGCACTTCCACACTGTAGTCCAGCAGGGCAGGAAGTCAGGACAGGAACACAAGCAGGGCAGGAGGCAGGAGCTGATGCAGAGGCCATGGTGGGATGCTGCTTCCTGACTTGTTCCCCATGACTTGCTTGGCCTGCTTTCTTCTGTTGTTTTGTTTTGGTCTTCGAGGTAGGGTTTCTCTGCGTATCAGCCCTGGCTGTCCTGAACTTGATTTGTAGACCAGACTGGCCTCCAACTCACAGAGAGCTGCCTGCCTCTGTCTCCCAAGAGCACGCGCCACCATGCCTAACTCAGCCTGTTTTCTTCTAGAACCCAGGACTGTCAGGCCAGGTGTGGCAGCACCCAGAATGGGCTGGGCCTTCCCACATCAATCACTGACTGAGAAAATGTCCTACAGCTGAATCTTATGGTGGCATTTTCTCAATTAAGGTTCCCTCCTTTCAGATGACTGGCTTGTATCAAGTTAACATAAAACTAGCTAGCATGACTCTCAATGCACTAAAACCTTTGTAACACATGCAGCCCACTGTAGTGTGTCAGTTGAATGCCATGGTAGTCCTGTGTCTGACTGTGAGTTGTGGCTGCTGCTGCCCAACACTGAAAGCAAGTATACTTCCTATTGCTGACCTGGGAAAAGATAGAAGTTGAACATTAAAGGACTGTTCCTCCTGAATCTGTACTGTTCCTGTACCATTGAGAAATGATACCATGACAAGTACACACACACACACACCACTCACATACAACAGACATACCACTCATACACCACACACACCACTCTCTCTCACACACACACTACACACATGTACACACACACACCACTCATACACACTACACACACCACTCACACACTACACAAACCACATACACACAAACAAACTTTGGTGAAAGAAGACTTACACGGGTTATGGTGGCACAAAGAGGGTCGTAAGCCATCTTCAAGGGTGGCAAATGAGGCAGTGGCATGAAATTCATCGTAAGGAGAAGGCTGGACATTGTCTCTCTGCTCTTGGCTCTACTTGCAAGTCTGCATTCTACCAGCCTCTGAGGACCTGGCTTTGGGAGTTTGCTAACTCCTGTGTCAAAGGTGTCTGAATGTGTAGTGTCTCAGTGCTCCAGCTTCCCTGCTTCCAGCCACATCCAGGTGGGAGTTGGGGCTGATTCACCTGGGCCCTGAGTCTAAAAGTCATAGGTGGGGATGTGGGAGGAGAGGAGCCAGCCCCCTCCCCGTGTCTTTCCCTGTGCTGGTGTTGTCCACAGGGCGGGATGGTCATTGCCCCAGAATCCTGGTGGGCCTCTGTATTGTCAACTGCGTGGTGGATGAGAACTGTCAACCGGGGGAGAAGTGCTGTAAGTCAGGCTGTGGCCGATTCTGCATCCCCTCTCTCCAGTCCCTCAAACAGTCCACAGACTTCAACGAGACCAATGGGTCTAATTCTGAACTGGGTGAGTATTGCCCATGCTGACCTTTGACCAACTATGATGTTAATAGGTTTTAGGGCTGTTAACACTCCCCTGTTAGCTACTGGGAAGGCGACTTCTGAAGGCCTCCAATATAGCTGGAGAGAACGGTCCTGAGTCACAGGCCACACCCCCTCATATGAACACTGTGGGATTACAGTGCTTAAAGTGGGTGTGGCTGTCTGCAGGGATGTCTTTCTGGAAGATATGGGATTTGATCCAGGCCCTAAAGCCTCAACAGATGTGACATATCGGAAAGGGTGGGGATATATGTGATGTGTTGGTGCCTTGAGGGCTGGGGGCAGGGCAAAATCCAGAGCAGAAACCATTCCTATTTGATAACAGGAGATGACAAGAGTCTTCAGAACCAGTTAGGAAGTCCATCCAGGCTCCCCAGGGGGAAGGGAAAGGGCGGGGCACCTGGAGCTGGAAAGGCCCAACTGTGACCTGAAATGTCTTTTACTTGCAGAGACTCGAGTACCCTAACTGTTCTGGCTTGCCTGAAGCTCCAGGAATCTTCTGGAAGCCAAGAAGGGGTGATGTCCTGGGACTTGTGACACTTCCATTGATATCAGGCCTTCTCTTTGCTTCTACTGCTGCTTGGAGCACTTGGAACAGCCCTGGGGACAGGTGCTTCTCTTTCAATAAAATAGTGGCATGGACCTTCTTGTCTGTACTGTGTAGGGGCTCAGATGAGGTGGGGACGCTAGTGGGTCTAACCTGTGCATGACTTTGGCATTGTGAAACCTGTGGACTAAAGAAAGGTAACAGATTCTTTTTTTAATGTAGCATATATGAAGAAGAGTATTAATGCCCATTACGAAATGACTAGTTAAATAAACTAGCCATTGTATAGAGGTCTAGTAAAAGAGCTATGTGTAACACCTTAGGCAATCTTGGATGAGTTTAGTCATTTTGAAAATAATACATCCTGACTTGTTTGATGCATAACAAGGTAAAACAAAATTTTTCTTTTAAATGTTGTGTGTGTGTGTGTGTGTGTGTGTGTGTGTGTAGTTGCATGTGCACAGTGAGTTTTCAGATGACAACTTTGAGGAGTTGTTTCTCTTTTCATTGTGTGAGTTCTGGGGATTGAACTCAGGTTGTCAACCAGTCACCATACATTTTAAAAGCTTTTCTACTTCCTTCTTTCGTTTTCTGTCAGATATTAAAAATGTCACTGTCTTACACCAAGTATGTTACAGGATCGTTTTTGTTTGCTGTTTTGATTTTGAAGTTTCATGTAACCAAAGTTAACCTCAAATTCCTATGTAGCCCTTGAACTCCTGATCTTCTCATGACCACTTCCCCAGTGCTGGGATTACAGGTGGGCAGCACCGTCTGCTGCTTGGGTTTTTGTCTGTTGTACTCAAGGTGTGTTTCCACTGTACATCTTGGCTGAGGGTGGATCTTTGACATGGTTTCTGGTTCTTTTTTTTTTTCTTAAGCTACACATTTTGTGTGCTTTATTTTATACTTTTTAAGATGTTAAAATTAAAAACAAAGTTTAGGAGTTCCACTCAAAATTACCAATGCGAAAATTTCAGACCACAAATATTAACAGTTAGGTCTTAAGAAATCGCCTGTATTATAAAATACTTCTAAATAATAAGGTACAAATATTTGAAAAAATTCCATCAAATTTTTATATGTGCATATGGTATGTCAATAGTTAAGTTCACATAAATTTTTTCCCTTTTTCAGTTTTTAATGTTTTTATGGTCTCATCAACCAAGGCTGGCCTTGCCCTTCTGATCCTTCCGCCTCCCAAATACTTGGGTTGCAGGCAGGTACCACCATGCCCAGCTAAGTACACATGCCAAACACAAAATTTCTTATAATATTATGTGCTGTAATTTGGTTAATATTGATTCTGTTGACTTCTAAATTTCCTTTAATGTCCATATTTCGGTCCATCCTTTTGCATACAACAGAGACTGGTTATCTTGCCTAGCCAGGGTGACAGTAGCATTATGCACAGTATGGCCAATGTGCACCCGAGCTCCTTCATCACATACTCAGTCTGTGTCTCTTCCATCTGTTAACAGCTTATGGAGACTACTGCCTGTGGTTAAATGTCTAAGAAACTCAAGAATGTAAAGGCAGATCTAAACCAGAACAAAAGCAGTTTTGGAATGCAACATAACAAAGACAAGCTTGTAACACTGTAGTACATTTTTCGTCACCAAATACTGACAATCTCCCTCCAGTCCTTCAAGCAGCATCTTAAATGGTACAAGTGAATTGTCCCTTGCTACTTATAAAATTATGTGGTGTTTGAGTGATTCACATATTCAAGAAATGATCGGTCTAACACTCTTTGGATAAGGGCTTCCTCATATCAAAATCTAGGAAATCATTATAAAACAAAGCGTGGCTGACTTGCGAATGTCTAATTAAGCTGCCATTGAAGGTACTTGGGCTCTCATTAGGTAGTAAATGGCAAAGCAGGCAGAACGCAGGCCTCCTTTTGATCTGTGGTGGGTAATGGAATGATCCAGCAAAGCCTCTCCATCCAGTTCCCTCTGACAGAATGGCCACACACCCTGACCCGCCCAGTTCTTGCAGGGGACCACAGTTATCGATGTCCTTCTCACATGTCCTTGTGTGCGTCCTCATGTCACTGAGGCAAACCAGAGTCCCACACTCAGTACAGTTCTGGTATTCTGATTTCGTTCTTTTGGTTATGTCAGTTGCTGGCACTCCCTCTGAAGGAAGGTTTGCCCGGCAGTATGGATATGTCCATTTATTATTCTTTATACTGGTCCCAATACTGGAGCAGCAGAACACATGACCACAGGGGGTCGGGACCAGCTGATGTAGTCGAAAGAGGTGATGGGCAGCTCGGTGTCCCTGCTGCGCTCCAGGGGCCCAGCTGGGGGGCCGAGGCGGAGCTGTCGCTGCTCAGCAGGGAGCCCATAATCGGTGTGTCCAAGCACCACTGGCTGCTAGGAGTTTGGTGTGGGCTGCACGCATGGTTGTGTGTGTGTGAGTGTGTGTGCGTGTGTGTATGTGTGTGCGTGCGTGTGTGTGTGTGTGTGTGTGTGTGTGCTTGCCATTTTTGTCTCCCTTAAGTCAGAAGTCTTTTTCCCTCACCCTGTTAAAATAACTTAAATTTGGTCCCACAAACTTTTAAAAAGCCTAGGAAGTTAGGTGAACTTAAGGCTGCAGGTTGGAGCAGCCCCCCTATTTATTAGAAAACGTTGGTTCAGGTGGTGCAATGCCCGCAATCCCTTGGAAGGTGGAGACCTGCAGGTCAGGAGTTGAAGGCCACCTCTAGGCTAGCCTAGGCTATATGAGACTCAAGGAAACAAAACATCTTTAATCCCAACACTCGGGAGGCAGAGGCAGGAGGATCTGAGTTCGATGTCTGCCAGGGTTACACACAGAGACCCTGTCTCCCACAGCCCCTCTTCCCAAATGTAATTCATATTATGGTTCTCCAGGAGTTTGCTGTGCCACCTCTGCAGGTGGGTGTGTTAGCCTGCAACACTGGGATGATACAGTGCAAATGCATTTTTCCTTTGGTAGGTCATCAAACCCCATGGGGTTCCTAAATTGGAACAAGGACAAGGGAGACTGGCAGAGAACACAGTTTTCAGCAGACAGAGGTGGCACACGCCTTTAATCTCATTGCTTGGGAGGCAGAGGCAGACGGATCTCTGTGGGTTCCAGGCCAGACTGGACCAACAGCCTCCAAAACAATGCAGAGAAACCCTGTCTCATAAAGCCTCTTCCAGAGGTCCTGAGTTCAATTCGCAGCAACCACACCGTGGCTCACAACCATCTGTAATGAGACCTGGTGCCCTCTTCTGGCATGGATGAAAACAAAGCACTTATATACATAAAATAAACAAATAAACAAAGAAACCATGCAAAACCTTCCTCCCTCAGGGTTTAAGTCCCTTCAGCTTGAATTCTGTGAATTGTCTCTGAACCCTGAACCTACCAGCTGTCTGCCATCCTTGAGCAGACTGAAAAGTCACCCTCACTTGCACCCCCAGCCTCCTTGCAACGGGCGTCTGACCCCCATGTGGGGACTGGAAAAGATCTGTACTTTCTGCCTTTCCTTGAGCATCTATCTGAGTCCCCTGTGCCCTTCCCCAGAAATACCGAGGGGCACCGGCACCTCTCGCTGCTGTTCTGAATCTCAGTTTTTTCTCCCGTGGGGCGTGATATCAGTGGTAAGTTGGGGTGTGGGGGTGATAAGGGTGGGGAGTTGCTCTTGAGTTGAATCAAGGGAATCGGTGTGTAGACAGACCAGCTTCTCGACACAGATCGACAAACACAAGAATGAATAAGACCCTAAGGGAGTGAAAGGAATTCTTTCCTGGGCTCTTTGGTCTCTGAGCCACCAGGGGGCAGCAGAGATCTAGGTCCTAGACCATGAAAGGACACAATAGAAGCAGAGATATGGGCAAAGTTCACTATGGTCTGAGTTTCTGTATGCCTACTGAATCACACCTAATAAATCACGGCAGCAGGTTGTGGCCACTCTTTTTCTCTTCTCTTTTTAAAGATTCCATCTTATTATTATCTTATGTGTGTGAGTGTTTTGCTTGCATATGTCTGTGTACATGCACTGGTGGTGCCCTTAGAGGCCAGAAGAGGGTGTGGGTTCTCCTGCTAGAGTTAGACTGTTGTGAGCTGCCATGTGGGTGCTGGGAATCGAACCCAGGTCCTCTGGAAGAGCAGTCAGGGCTCTTAACCATCACTCCCCTTTTTCTTTTTTGAGACAGGGTTTCTCTGTGTAGCCTTGGCTGTCCTGGAATTCACTCTGTAGACCAGGGTGACCTTGAACTCAGAGATCCGCCTGCCTCTGCCTCCCAAGTGCTGGGATTACAGGTGTGGGCCACCACCACTTGCATTGTGCCCTCTCTTTTCAATATGTGGCCTGTTTCTTCTGGCGGACAATATTTATCTTGGGAATGTTACCCATCACATTTCAATGTTTCTTATAGAAAGCCACAGGATCGGGTTGTTTGGTTCAAGAGCAGGACTTTTTTTTATGATCAGTGTGTGTGTGTGTGTGTGTGTGTGTGTGTGTGTGTGTGTGTGTGTGTGTGTGTGAGTGATGGGCAGGGAGTGACTTGCCGGCATCACCGGTCCTGCCAGCTCTCTGGTAGGTGCTTTCTAGATCTGATGGCTCTGTCCTTGCCCTTGGTGGTTAGGAAGCCAGGATGTGCATTCTCCAACCTTCTTGTTAATGTTTGCTCTTACTCCTCTGTCTTTCCTTTGCTTCCGTGTAACTTCAAAGCTCTTTGTGTGTTTAGCACTGTGAGACTTTTTCTGTTTTCCATTTCTTTGTCCTCTTCAGTTTTAGGAAAAGGGGATGTGATCATTGCTGGGATATTCAGAACAACATACAAAAATCAAAAGGACATCTTTTGTCACCAGCATCTTAGTAAACATCCCTCTAGACTTCATTTATGGGTGGGGATTAGTGCATTTTTCATTGCTGTAATTACATAGTCAAGGCAGGTTACTTTATGGGCAAAAGGAATTTACTTTGGCTCTCGGTTCTGGAAGTTTGAGATTCAGGGGCCACATCTAATGATGGCTGTTTTGTAGATAGAGTGCTGAGGTATTACAGACCATCAAAGGGTAAGGGAAAAAGAATGGTCATTCCCTCTTCCTCTGTCTTCTTTGCTTTTTTGCATCA